GGAGTGGGTTGCCATTTCTTCCTCCAGTGGATCATGTTTTGTCAGAGTTCTCTGCTATGACCTGTCTGTCTTGGGTGGCCCTGCATGGCATAGCTCATAGCTTCATTGAGCTACGCAAGCCCCTTCGCCACGACAAGGAGCCTCTCTGTCTATTGGTGCTCAAATAAGTGGTTTTGCCATATACAAAGCTTTTTTCAGGGTGATGGCAGCTGGGAAGAGGAGGATTAACTCCCCCCCCCAAAAAAAACCCCTCTCACTACACGGAAATTGAGCTTGGATGAAGCTTTTTCAATTACCGTATTTTTCGCTCTATAAGATGCACCTTTTTCCCCCTCAAAAGGGGAAATGTCTGTGTGTCTTATAGAGCAAATGTGTGTGTGCCTGACGCCCGGGACGCTGCCGGCCGCCTGCACCACGTGGCACCACCTGGCTGGCACGCGCTCGGTGCGCCCTGCTCCACCCCCCCCTCCGGCGCAGGTGAGAGCTGTGCCACTCAGGGGGAGAGGTGCAGAGGAGGAGGAGCTGCGGGCTTTAACCCGCTGGCCGCACGGAGAGATGGACTGCTCACCCCCACCGCCCGGGAACTGCTCACCCCCACCACCCGGGAAGACCTGCTGCCACACCACCCGGAAGACCACTGCCGGCACGCTGCCGGCCCCACGTGGCACCACCTGGCCGGCACGCACTCTGCGCGCCCTGCTCCACCCCCCTCCTCCGGCGCAGGTGAGAGCTGATAATCACAGGTCAGTGTGTGTTTTCAAATGGCAACCCATCTTTTAATGAAGCCCATGAGGAAGTGATGGGGAATGTGCCTGTGATTATCAGGAAGCTTTCCATGGATCAGTTATCTGTTAATCAGACACATTTTTTTAGGATCAGTGGAAATACGGTATTACTGTATTCTGTTATTGTTTATTAAATAGTTTAGTAAACCATTTGATTCAGAATATTTTTTTTCTTGTTTTCCTCCTCTAAAAACTAGGTGTGTCTTATGGTCAGGTGCATCTTATAGAGCGAAAAATATGGTAGTTTAAGATGAGGTGGGACATGGTGCAGATTAATTGAAGAATGTGCTTTATTCGAAAGTATTTGGGTGCAAAATTAATTAACTGGCTTTGCCTCCTGTTAAATTTAAATAAACCTAGTAACTATTTGTATATTTACATTTGAAAATTTTATACAGAGCTGAGTCCAGTGAGCCAAATCTTTCAAGTACCAAGCAACACCTCTGAAACAAACCGGGCTGGCTAACTGCAGTGTGTAGGAGTCTCTGCACACAACCTGTACCTCCCTTGGATCCTGAAAGGAATAACTCAAGATATTTTGTTGCCTGAGCTGAAGAATAAGATGCATGGCCATTGTTAGCAGCATGTGCACCAGGAATGTAGCCCAGATTAAAGATGCCCCAAGGGCATCACTTGCCTTAATAAAAGCTGCCTAATCCCTCAAACCCAGCAGTGACTGGGAGACCTTAAGGGCTCACTCCCTTGACATACCAATAGGGGCTATTATAATTATTATTTAAAATACAGGAGTGCCTGGCACCTTTCCTCCCTGCCTACTCACTTTTTCTCTCTCACACAGCCATTCTACTCTTACATTCTCTCCACAGAGATCTTGCTTTAATTATTCAGGCATGGAAGGACACACTTGAATAAAAACAGGAGGGTTTGCTTGAAGGGAGACGAATACTGATCACTTATACAATCCTATGTACGTCTGTTCAGACCTACCGTTCTGTTCAATAGGGCTTACTCCCAACAAAGGGTACATTCGATTCTAGCCTAAGTTACCCTTGTGGGGTGATTTCTAGCCTACTTCTCTACATGTTTACTAGAAATGATTCCTGAGTTGTGACAATTATCACAGGGTTCATTCTCAGCCCATTCCACTCTATAACTTGGCTACCCTTTCAGCGCAACCTAAGCACATTTGTCATTTGCATTCTTTTCTCTCTTGCTCAGACTGTAATTACGGGTGGGAAAAAGCTCAGAGAAAGGTTCTGACTTAGCCTTGGTACTCAAGGCTGGTTGAAGTCTTGGCAGAAATTCAGTTATGGGGAAGAAGAGACAATGAGAGCTTGCACAACAAGGAGGAAGTAGGGAAAGCTGCACAAAAGAAAATAAACAAAACAGTTGCTGGAGGATGGAAAAATAAGGAGGGAAAATAATTGTGTGGAGAGAACAGGTGTAATTGCGACCCAGGTGTAATTTTCTTGCCACTGGGTGGCCTTTACTCAGGGAATGCTGAGGCTTTAAGCTGTGTGGGACATATCCCACCATGATTAAGTGTGTGGGAAGGGGGAAGCTGTAATTGCTCAATGATGAGAGAAAAGCATCCTGCATGTGCTCAGAGACACCCAGTAACATTTTGTAGACCTTTTTGCTAACATTTTTGAAAAGCAACTAAATTCTAGCAATGGTAAAGCTGTGTGTTGCCATATGCAAATCTGTCACAGGCCTGTACCCATTATCCTTTTAATGGGATTAACAGGCTTGTACCTAGCAACCCCCCCATAAATTCCTCCTACTCCCACGTACAGAAACCAATCAGACTGGCAGTTAACCCTTATTATAACCATGGCCATGGGGCAAGATCTTCTGCTATAGGCAACAGCAGCAAGCTGGCCCAAGGAATGCAAGACAAGCTATTTAGCCATCCTCCAACAAACAGGAAAGGCCAAGGGTTCAATGAGGAACAGCTGGTCAGTCAGCTTAATGTTTTGATGTTGTCTTGTTTTTAATGTACTGTGTTTATCTTTATTCTTTTCCCTCTTTTGGCTTTGTATTGCTCAGTTCTGTGGAATCTGCTTAGATATGGAGCAGTATGTAAATACTGTAAATAAATAAAGGAAGCAGCCACCAGAGCAGTTGCTCACTGGAAAGGCAGGCATGGTGTAGTGGTTAGAATGTTGGGACTTGGGACTCAGAAGATACAGCTTCTCCTTCCTGCTCAACCATGAAAGCCCACCGGTGACTTTGGGCCAGGGATGGCCTCGCCACCTAACCTACCTCACCAGGCATTTGTTATGGTCCTGAATGGTGCAACACTCCCTCTTAGGGACAAGGTCTGCAGTTTAGGAGTACTCCTCGACCCGGAGCTTTCTTTGGAAGCTCAGGTGACAGTGGTGGCGAGGAGCGCCTTCCTTCAGCTTCGGCTGATTAATCAGCTGCGCCCCTACCTGGAGTACGACTGCCTGGCGACGGTGACACACGCGCTGGTGACTTCCCGCCTAGACTTCTGTAACGCGCTTTACGTGGGGCTTCCCCTGAAGACGGTCTGAACACTTCAATTGGTGCAAAATAGAGCTGCCAGGTTGCTGACGGGGACAGGGCGTTATGTTCACATGACTCCAGTCCTCCGTCAGCTCCACTGGCTTCCCATTGAAGCCCGGGCCCAATTCAAGGTGTTGGTTATGACCTATAAAGCCCTAAACGGCTTGGGTCCTGGCTACCTGAATGAGCGCTTACGTCCGTAAATGCCTGACCGCCCCTTGAGATCTGCGGGAAAGTCCCTTCTCCGGGAACCCTCCATGAAAGAAATTAGGACAGTAAGCACTCGGAGGAGGGCTTTCTCTGCGGTGGCGCCCAACCTATGGAATTCACTCCCCAAAGAGGTCCGCCTGGCACCGTTGTTACTTGTTTTTCGGCGCCAGGTAAAGACCTTTTTATTTAAACATCATTTTTATTGTTAAAATATATAATCTGGCCAGGACAACTTCTTCTTCCTTCTCTATTTTCCTCCTATATTCTTTATTCACTTATTTTATACTGTTAATTTTAACTTTATATGATTATGTGGGTATCCCAGCATATTCTTTGTATTTATGTAATTGGAGGTAATTTATTACGTTCTATTGTACTTCAATGTATTTTATTGTGTTGTAAGCCGCCCCGAGGCTTCGGCAAGGGGCGGCATAGAAATGCTGTAATAATAATAATAATAATAATAATAATGAGGAAAAAATGAAAAAGAAGAGAAACTTGCAAGCTGCCTTGGCTTCTTTACTGTACATAAGAAGACAAGACTCACAGGAGAAGACAGTCGTGCTAGGAAAAGTTAAAAAGAAAAGACGAAATATGGGATCGTTTGACTGCATAAAAGTAGCCACAGCCTTGAACTTGGAAGACCTGATTAGGGCTGTCAAGGAAAGGACTTTCAGGAGGACTTTCATTCAGAGTACTGTAAGTGGGAGGTGACTTGACAACACATAACAAATAAATGTAATAATAGTAATAATGATCCCCACCCTCCATTGCTAGATGGCTTTGGATTATCTTCATTCTTGTGGGAGGAAAGCATTTTCCCCCCACAACTAAAGCAGAAATATAAAGCAGGAATAGAAATTAGGCAGCAACCCTAAGTACTTTCGCGGACAACTAACGCCCTCAAAATCAGTAAGGCTTCTGTCAAAGAAAACGTGTAAAACGGGGCTCAATATGAAAGAAAGGGCTCCGTCTCCTTCGCAGACCCAGTACGTAGGATGCAGCTCGCCTCTCCAACCCATGCTCTCTCCTGTTTGCTTGCGGGCTTGCTTCTGCTGCCGCTGCTCGCAGCAACGACGCGGCCAAGAGAAAGCCGCACGTCTGACAATGCCCAACGCTTGCGGTGATTATTATGAACATTATTAAGGGCTGGTCCCGCAAGTTGCCTCGCCCCCGCACTTCGAGGCCGTTCTGCAGCCGCACTAATGGGCGCACACAGACGCGCGGCCCGTGCGTGACTTCCAGGCTCATTCGGTTCCGTTCGTTCGTCGCGGAGCGCCCCGCGGACAAATTAACGCCTTGCCTGCCCCCTTCCCTTCTCTTCCCCGCTTTTCCCTCTTCCTTCCCCTTCGCTTCCCCAAGGACAGGCCGAGGGAACAGAAGAGGAGTCAACGCGCGTTATTACAGCAGAGGGAGAAACACAAACAAGCGCAACACCCGGACTGGAGGAGGAGGGGGGAGAAAGAGGAGGCGCTGTTAATCCCAGACGCATGCGCGCGACTGTCGCGTCCATTCATTCCTTTCCTGCGCCTGCGCGGTCTACCCGAGTCATTGGGTATATAGGCAGCGGCCGGAGTGCTCTCGGGAGAGTCGAAGGGGTTGGTGGTTGAGGCTTTGGAGCGGGCATTTTCTGGTGGGTACGGGCAGGGGAAGGGGCGTCTGTGGGGGCGAGGGGGGCGGCGGCGGCGATTCCCGAGGCTGGTCCTCATACTCGGCGCTCAGCCTGCGGCGGCCCCCGCAGCCCCAGGCGGCGCTTCCTGGCTCCTGACCTTGCCGGCCGCCGGGTGGGCGAGCGCTCGCGGCGGCTTTGTCCGGGGTAAAGCCGCGCGTGGACGGAGCGCGCTCGCCCCTCGGGCTTTGCCGCTTCTGAATCGTGGGGGCCGAGGTGGCCGGGTGCGATCGGCGGGGCTCCGTCGGCCCCGCTCGCCCCAGCCCTGGAGCGAAGATGGCTGAGGGGAGACTCGCTCCGAGCGGGAGGGGGGAGACGCGGCGCTGCTCGCAGCCCGCCGCGAAGACCGGCCGCGCGCGGGAGGGGCGGTTTTCGTGCGAATCCCAAAATGAGCCCGAGAAGGGGTCGTGGTCGAAGCTCGCCCAAGTCTCAGACCGGAGGAATCGGCATCTCTCCTCTCCGCAAATACGGGAGGGTGTCATCCTCTCCGCAGTCCCCCCACTTCGCGCGCGCACAGCTCATCCACGTCTCCAATTTAAATGCCTGGGGCATTTAGCAGAGCAGTGACGAAAGTTCCTTAAGAGTGGGCAAGGTTCTTGGGGTGCAGCTTTGTGCGGGCTGAAGCAAGCCTGCTGTGTCAAATGCTTGGGATGTTCATTCGAGATCGAGGTGCTAAAGCTCAGGGGACTCTCAACTCTGTTCCACAAAACCTTATTTTTGTTTGAAATTGGTTTCTTTTCAACTTCTTACAACACAAGGCATTTTCTGTGTTGAAAACAAACAGATTTATTGTGGCATAAGGTTTTGTGGGTGAAATTTCAGAAGTGCTCTCCTAAGTGGGCCTTTTCTTGTGCTCCAGTCTTCTTTCTTTCTCTTGGCGTTCAAAGGGTAATATGTAAAATCATTACTAGTAAATTATTATGCCAGTGCTTGGGAATATTTTTATCTCTAATTCAATATGTGTGTGTTTATCGAATTACCTATGATAGTATTAAGTTTCATTGCTTTCCTTAGCTTCTGTAAGTTATAACTCATAACTGTAGTTTTGTGGTCACAGAAAGGTGATTTTGCATATTGCATAGGATCTGCTAGTTTAAAATAATATGAAAGTGCAAATTATATGTTCTAATCTTACACATATACAAGTTACAGCTAAATCCAACTATTGTATATTTATCACAGTTATTGAGTGTGATAAATAAAAAAGATAATTTGTCTTTTTGTACATGTGAAATAGTCCCAGTGGTCTTTAACCTGCAAGCAGATTGATGTGCACATTGTTTGCATTTCAGCCAGTATTTGTAGGAAGGTAATTTGTATTTATGTGTGTTTTCTTTCAGCAAGACTTTTGAAAATCCCTGAAAATGGAAACTGTTGTTCGGCGCTGCCCGTTCCTGTCACGAGTTTCCCAGGCTTTCCTACAGAAGGCTGGCAAATCTCTTCTTTTCTATGCCCAGAACTGCCCTAAAATGATGGAAGTTGCAACCAAACCAGCTTCACGGGCCCTGAGTTCTTCAGCACCTCACTATCAACAAAATGAAGAAACAACATCCTCCAATGAAAGTAAGGCTCAGCTTCATAATTTTTATTGGCTAATTAAAGTTTGATCCCTTATAACTAGAAACGTATATGCCCGACCGCCCTTTGAGATCTGCGGGAGAGTCCCTTCTCCGGGAACCCTCCATGAAAGAAATTAGGAGAGTAAGTACCCAGAGGAGGGCTTTCTCTGCGGTGGCGCCCAACCTATGGAATTCACTCCCCAAAGAGGTCCGCCTGGCACCGTCGTTACTGGTTTTTCGGCGCCGGGTAAAGACCTTTTTATTTAAACATCATTTCAATTGTTAAAACATATGATCTGGCCAGGGCAACTACTTCTTCCTTCTCTTTCTCCTCCTATATTTTTATTTTATACTGATAATTTTAATTTTATATTTGTAAATCAATGTATTTTTGTATTTTTGTATTTAATGGTAATTTATTATGTACTATTGTATTTCAATGTATTTTATCATGTTGTAAGCCGCCCCGAGGTTTTGGCAAGGGGCGGCATAGAAATGTTATAATAATAATAATAATAATAATAATAATAAAACATTTTTCCTTCAAACATGGTTTCACTTAATTGTTTGAAAGATAGCCCAAGTCATACTTTTGAAATACAATGCAATTGTAATAGTATTTGTCAGATCTTATTTCACCTACAATCGCTTTTCAGATGCTGATAGATACATTCCTATAGTATATGCTTATATAAAGTTGCTTAGCAACTTATTCTATTTTGCATGCTCCAAAACCACGACTACATAGAAGAGTGTGTATTGTGTTTTGAAGTAATTAACTTTGTCTTAGTACTGTGTTTGAACATTTTTGACAAGTTGTGTTATCCTTGTCATTTATAAATTTTGGTAAGTTTACAGATAATCTGGACTTTGAACATTACATTTTCCCAAGTTTGGGGCCAAAGCATTTTGTAACTCTCCTCCCTGTAGAATCTGAGACAAAGGTAAATGGTATAAGCATACTATGTGGAAGTCAGGAAGGCTTTGCGGGGCTGTAGAAGGACAGTCTTTTAGGTCATCTCAAATGAATTCAGTTCTGCAGGCCTAGTGCCTCTCAGAAAAAATCTGTAATCATAGGCTTCCTAGTCATCATTAATGTATGTTTTCATTTGTGTGTCAGGACAGGCTTTTAAGACAAGAGCCCATGATCCTTTATGGGCAGAGATAATCAGTTTTCTATCATTTACCTTGTGATAACCTCCAAGTTTGATTATCACAATGTATACTATATGGGTTGACCTTGAAGATGGTTTGGAAGCTGTGGCTTGTGAGGCAGCCAGATTAATAATAGAGATGAGAAGAGCTGAACTTATAAAACCCCTTCTGGGCTGCTTACACTCAGTACCTGTATGTTTCTGAAACTGTTTCAGGCTGCTAGTTTTAACCTATGTACATGACTCCAAACTGCAATAGCTGACAGTGCCTTTCCCAACATGAACCTACTCCTACCTACTGTCCTCCAAAAGCAGCGACAAGAAAGGTGTTCTTGTTGGTGTCTTTCTAATTATGGAATTATCTCCCTAACAAGGCCTGCCTGACAAAAGCCTTGTGTTTTTTTTTTGGTGCCAGATTCAGGCCCTTCTTTTCTCCTTGGCAGTTCACAGCATATGATGAGGTTTAAATCAGGTCTTGGATTTTTCTTATTGTTGACTGTTCAAGATTTCTTTAGAGATAAAGTTGTCAGCATTGTCTGTTTTACAGTAGTATGTAAATAGTTTCTATACTCTGTGTATGCGTATTTCATTCCTTTTAACCTTTGTAAACCACCTAGAGAGCTTCAGCTATTGGGTAGTCTAGAAATAAAAGAAATAGGGTTGCAATCCAAGATGTAGTCCTGTTCAGTGTTATACACAGTTGCCAGACAGTGAGTCCTGCTCAGTTCAGTAAGATTTTTTTTCCCAGAGAAAGCATGTATAGGATTGTATAGCACTGCTAAAATGAGAAATAACCTAGTACCTTATCCAGTGAGGTATTGGAAAACATTCATTGAACACAGCTTGATCTTGGAGGTGGGGAGGAATAGTTATGGTTGACATACTGTTCATTAATTCTCTTAATTTGAACAGTTTCAGTCTAGGAACTTAAGTGTTCTCCTGGGGGAAATGGCTTCCACATGTTAAAGGTGGTGATGGTGCGGGGGGGGGGTAGTTTTTAACTGCTGACACTGGGACCATGCAGAATTAACACTATCAACATGAGTACCTTAAATCCTTCTACTTTGTACTGTACGTTTCTTTGTTCTCTTATTTAAGAGGCCAAAAACGCCCCAGATGCGGCTCAAGAAAACATGACCAGAACCCAGCCGCCTCTAAGCCACCCGCCTGCTACTAGCCAGAGTGGTAGCCAAGCTACTGTGACTAAATGCCCATTCTTGGCAGCTCAGATGAGTGAAGGAAACAGTAATGTTTTTTGCAAAGCCAGCCTAGAACTCCAGGAGGATGTGGAGGAAATGCAGTCTGTAAGAAAAGGTATGGCTTTTTCTGAATGCTGCTCTTTTAAGGTTCTAATTCTAGATGCTGCTGCTGCTCACAGCTAAGCAGGGTTAAAAAGGAAGCAACATCTTAGTCAAATACAAGTTTATCAAGCTCTTTATAACTTGAGCTGTTGCAGAAGCCAAACGTTGAATTCTCATGGCCCCTGCTTTTTCATCCGCTTTACTTGTAGTCTTGGTGTGAGAGTGATGATTGTTCCAGAACAAGTTGTAGAATTTGTAGGTATTTTCTATAAGTGGAATTACGAAAAAGAAGACAGCATTCTTGATTATCAACCTACTTGCTTCTCATTTGCTTAAAATGCACTGTAAAATAACCAATTTTCATGTGCCTGTTCTTTGAAAACCTTCTGTAGATCACTGCTTTCTTGGCAAGTTGGACCTGGGCTTGCATAGGCTATTAATATCAAAAATCCATTTTCTATTGTGAGCAGTAGACACTGGAAATCAAGAAAGTCTTGAATATTTGCTTACTATAAAGTTATACACTTTTGGTACTTGTCAACAAAATTACAACATGGATTCATGCAGTTCTGTTGCTTGAGTTTTCAAAAGATTGAATTTGAATATGGAATAGCCTGTATAGGGATAGAATGCTAGTTAAGGATTAATGCTAATAGTTAATGCTAGTCTATTATAATGCAAAACACAGGTCTGATTTTTGCTTGCATGTATCCCTGCCACTGATCTATAGTCTTGTATTCAGTTGTCTATTTATTAATCTATGATAACAAGCCAAAACATTATTGGATTGTTTGTGCACAAAATTTGGTTTGATATCTAATATCTACTTCAGAAAGTTGTTAAAGCCATTAATCTTCTTATGCCATCTTTCTATATAGAGTTTGCCAAGACACCGGAAAATGCTGTTAATGTTGATGGTGAAAAGCAACATGGCTTGCTGAAGAAATTCCAAGGCATCATGTTGAAGCAGAGACCAGAACGGGTGACGCATCTGCTTCAGGAGAATTTACCAAAATGTAAGGCTCAGTCTGTTTCAACTGATTAGCAGAAATCAAAGCTTGTACTTACTCCCAAGTTCTTTGTCGTAGGGCAGGTTCCAGCTGTAATACATTCATGTTTTTCCATTGCAGCTGTTTCTACTTTCCCATATGACCAGTTTTTTGAGAAAAAAATTGATGAGAAAAAGAAAGATCATACTTATCGAGTCTTCAAAACTGTGAATCGAAGAGCCCAGATATTTCCAATGGCAGATGACTACTCGGAATCCCATTCCAGCAAAAAGGAGGTGTCTGTGTGGTGCAGCAATGATTATCTTGGGATGAGTCGTCATCCTAGAGTTTGTGAAGCTGTTACGTGAGTATTTGTTTAAATGAAAATAAACTAAAGAACCCTGCCTCCACCCTTGCAGCTAGCACATTTTTTTCTGTACCTGGTGCCATTCCAGAGTTGCAAATGGCACATAAGAGTATTCTGGGCAAGGGAAAGAGAGAGGCTTCACCAGGATACAATGAATCCAAGCAGTGCTGCAGCCCCTTCTTTTCATGAGCAGGGACAAAATGCAAAAGCCTGCTGAAATCAACCATCTTTGCCTCTTGCATGGTAGAAGAAACATGGAGGCAATCCATGCCTGTAATCCTCTGTGTTTGGACTGCTGCAGGTAGCCAGATTATCAGCCCTTAGCTGAAACATTCTCTTTGATTATCAAGAGACTACTGTATGGCAAGTAGTCCTGAGGATCTGTATTGCTATCAGTTGCTATCAGTCTGTATTTCCACCTCCTCTTCCCCCATGCTGTACTGCAAACTAGGATAGCTATGCTGCCATCCAGCTAGAACTACTCCCTTCAAGCCACAGATTTCTGTAGTGCGTTAGTCCTAAGATTATTGCTGCAGAAATGGCATGCATGATGCCACTACTTTCCTTCCTCTAATGATCAATTCATCTGAATGTTGCACTTACCTAGTAGAATTATGTGGGTAAATAGAGTTCCACTGCCTCGTAAAAGGAGATGTCTTTTCTCTGATTAATGAGTAGTCTATTCTAAGTTGGCATAGGAAATGAATAGAAACAACAATTAGAAATTGTCTCTTCCATGAATTGAAGTTGGAAATAGGTTGTTCCAAGTGATCTCTGATGTATCTGTTGGAACCTCCCTCACAGGGAAACACTGAAACAACATGGTGCAGGAGCAGGCGGTACCAGGAATATTTCAGGAACCAGTAAATTCCATGTTGATCTCGAAAAAGAATTGGCTGATCTTCATGGGAAAGATGCCGCCTTGTTGTTCTCGTCTTGCTTTGTTGCTAATGATTCAACCCTTTTCACACTAGCCAAAATGTTGCCAGGTAAGATTTAGCTTTTATACCATATTAACTTCACTAGATGGATTTGCTGTAAAAAAAAAAATGTGTCCTGTGATGCACTCTTCAGACACTATAGAGTATAAATCATTCTAAAATGTATTTTTAATCTGGGACTAATGCTTGTTGGATAAGTAAGAGTTCATAATCTTACAATCCATGAGTATTGCATGTTCATAGTTTCTGCAGTCTGTTTTGAAGTAGTTATTTTCAACCAAAAATAGACTTTTAAAAGACAAAGCACCAGTTTCTTCCACCTTTTTTCTTAAGCACATACCCTCCTAGGAGCCAGAGAACATCATATTCCCTTACGTTTCTTCTAAAGCAGATGGACTGGCTATCATGTGACACTTTTTGTTGCAGTGTGGTCATGATGACAATTCATGAATAACCCTGATGCACTCTCACCTTTAGAGGGCTTGCTTTCCTGCTTAAACCTATCTTGTTGTGAGGGATGTTGCTGCCCATCCCAGTATACTAAAACACTTAGTATACTCCTTTATGACATGTGTATTTGAGCTGCCAGAATCCATAAATTAAGGTGGCTTGTAGAAACAATATAAGCCTGGTACTATGTGGGTTGCAGTTCATGTATTTAGAACCCTGTGACGACATCTAACACTGAACACTAACATGTTCCTGCTTCTAGACAACCTGTCCTGTTCGGCAGGTTCCCAGTAGCACCCATGAAACTCAAGTTGCTGTGGGCTTTTTTGATGCAGGTTTGGATAACCAGCTGGTTCAGTGAATTATGCCAGCCCTACCCAGTTGTGAAGGCTGATAACCTTTGATAGACCTTCTTTCTGTCCCTGCTCTACCCACAGGTTGTGAAATATACTCAGATGCAGGAAACCATGCTTCCATGATCCAGGGGATTCGAAACAGCAAAGTGCCAAAGCACATATTTCGCCACAATGATGTTGGTCATCTCCGAGAACTACTAAGAAAATCAAACCCAGCTACTCCCAAAATTGTTGCATTTGAAACTGTTCATTCAATGGATGGTATGCTTGCTTTATCATGCACAAGGTCCTGGAGCCTTGGAGGGGATGGGTTCTGAAAAGCAAGAACTTGATGGTTTGTGAATATTGTCTTAGGTGCTGTCTGTCCATTGGAAAAGCTTTGTGATGTCGCTCATGAATTTGGGGCAATCACCTTTGTAGACGAAGTGCATGCTGTTGGATTGTATGGAAGCCAAGGTGGTGGCATTGGAGACAGAGATGGAATCATGCATAAAATGGATATTATATCTGGAACACTTGGTATGCACACACTGACGCTATTCGTTCTAATTTTAAATAAGAATGACTCAGTCACATGGCAAGGATAATTCTGCTGGAATCACTAAATTTCCAGGAATAACTCATGCTTTGCCTTTGCCAAATTGGTGTTTGTGAAAATGTCAGTAGTTCTATAAAATACTGTATTTTTTGCACTGTAGAGCAGACCATGCTTCATCTTTAAATATGATGTGGGAGTTGTGTGAGGAGATTTTGTAAGACCAGAACTAGTAATTGCACAATAACAAGTTTTACCAGTTAAGATAGTGATACTGCTGGTCAAATTGGAAAGCTGCAATTAAAAAAAATGTATTTACTATCTAGAGAAGCATTTCACCACTTTAAATTTAAGGAAGTGTGAGTTGACAGTTGGAATTACATAACAACAGTAAGACTAATCACCACAAGCTGCTTGTCCTTACTTAGCACACCTCTTTTGGAGGTATTGGTTCCCAAAAGGTATGCTTTCCAACCAGATTACATACATACACTGCATTGTTTAATTTATAAAGCCACCTTTTGCAACCTGATGCCCTCTACATATATGGGATTACTACCCCTATCGTCCACAGCCAGCGTTGGCACTGATCTATTAAAGTTGCTTAAGTGTCGCCGTGTGGAAATCTATGTGCCAAAGCTTCCTATCTCTGTTTGCTTTTATAAGAAAACTTTTATTCGGTGCATAATTTTCCTTCATGAGCCATGCAGCGTATTTTTAAAAAGCCAGTTGGCAGTCCTATGAGAAATGTTCCACCTTGGCTTTACTGCAGAAAGACTCCAGAGTATGTAGAAGAAGAATAAATTAAATTACTGGCTCAAGCAAAAGCTGTAGCTTAGATAACGTGATAGCTTGCTTTTGATAACTCTAAGCCAAGAGTGAAGCTAAAATAACCTCTTTGGTATCTTTTCATTCAGGCAAAGCCTTTGGTTGTGTAGGAGGCTATATTGCCAGCACAAGTTCCCTGATAGACACCGTCCGTTCCTATGCGGCTGGATTCATCTTTACAACATCTCTGCCACCCATGCTTTTAGCTGGTGCCTTAGAATCTGTGAGAATTCTAAAGAGCGCCGAGGGCCGGGTTCTTCGCCGCCAGCACCAGCGCAATGTTAAACTCATGAGACAGATGCTGATGGATGCTGGGCTCCCAGTAGTGCACTGTCCCAGTCACATCATTCCTATCAGGGTAAGTCTTGCAGGTTGCAAGAACTCTTGGTCTAAGAAAAGCAAATTCACTACTGTTTCACGTTCCTTGGTAACTTCATTCCAAAGTCTGTGCATTTGCTTGTATGACGACACAATTCTGTGAATGTTTAGACAGAAAACAGTTTTACAGCTCTCAGTGTACCGCAGCAAGCAGCAACACTTTTTTTTCCTTGAATGTGGGAAGATGTTTCTTGTGATTTCTGCAGACTTTCGTGTCACTTATAAAAATGGAAGAAATTATATAGAAATAGAAAAAGCTGTAGGACTTGCAGGCTTTTTCTACAATAGGACTTGTGTCAGTTCTGCTTTCTTGCTGATTTCTAATAATACAATTTAGGATTCTAGAAAAATGTGTGGAGTGTAGCAGAGGGAAATCATTTTTAAAAACTGCATGCATTTTTAAGGATTGTATCAGTGAAAGTCCTACATAGAGTAAACACATTGAAATGAATGACACGTTTGACTAGATTAATAACAATCTTTATTGCCCAGAACCACTGAGGAATAGTAGCTTTACATGAATTCAGGAAGATACGGGCACAGTCCAAGATACGGGCACTGTCCGATGAATAGTTAAACACAGAAGTGACCTACAGTTTCCGGCATTCTCCAGTCAACTCTGCTGGCTGGGGAATGCTGGGAGCTGTCCATCTTTCTGTCTAAACATGCACAGGATTGGGCCCTTAGTTTGCTGGAGGAAGCCCCCCCCCCCAAAGAAATCTTCTGCCACAGCAGGCTCTTTCATCTCCAGCCCCACTTCTCTGTTTCCCTATCACCAGCTTCCAGTTCACGCTTGTATGACTATGAGCAGTCATTGCTGCTTGCATGAGTCATACACTGGTCTCTGCAGCTATAATTTTTGCATGTCTGTTGTTGGAACACTTTGATCCTTGATCATGCATGTAATTGTGCTTATAGTCTTGGAAACTTGGCTAAAAGTATCCTGGATGTTAAATCTCTCTCATTTCAGGTTGCAGATGCTGCTAAAAATACTGAGATATGTGACAAAATGATGAGCCGGCATAGCATCTATGTCCAAGCAATAAACTACCCCACAGTGCCACGTGGAGAAGAGCTGCTACGTATCGCCCCTACACCGCATCATACCCCACACATGATGAACTATTTTATTGGTAAGTGAACGGTATCAAAAGCACCACCGTATTTTACAAAAGTGTCCAGACTTGAAGATGAAAGTGTTGTCTGTAATGTTGAATGTTATCTCTACACTAAGCTGGTGCAGTTTATTTTGTCCTAAATGTGAGCTTCTGTAACCATGAAAAGCATGACTGTTGACTGCACATACCACGTCTAAAATTTACCGAAAAGAACATTTCAGCCATTCATGTTTTCTATGATTTAAGGGTGCAGTCCTGTGTGTCTTACGAGTGAAAAAGTCCTACAGTCCCAGCATATGTCAGCCAGCGTGGGGCTTGGGCATGTTGGGAACTGTAGGAAGTTTTTCTATATAAACACATACAGGATTTTGCATTAAACTAGATGTCCTGCTTAAATGTTCGTTAGAGTAAGGAAGTGCTTGTGCTAGCTTAGTTTTACTTGTCTGCGTAACTTGGTATTTCTGCAATTGGATGGCAAGCTGCATGTGTAGATTTCCAGCCAATCTACAGGAAAGCTGTAGAACGTAGCCTCCACGCATCATACCAGAGTGTGGTGCCTTCAGAACGCAAGTTGCCTTCCTCCTAGCAAGAAGGCTGCAGGCGCAAGTGCTGTGCAAGGTGGCTGACCGTGCCGTGCTAGCCGCCTCCTGTACAAGCTCCAGTGGCGCCCTGGCGCTGTGTGTGAGTGGGGAACGGGGTGCAGGGGCCGAGTTCCACACTCCTTAGCTCACAGGATGGCTTAGTCAAAAAGCCATCTAGTGGATTTCAGATTGCCAGGAGAAGCAACGAATGTTAAAGCCGCGGTACAATGAATGAGATACACAAGGCAAGGCGGCACTGTGAAGGTGCACGATATTTTTTATCATGGCACAAAAATTAGGTAATCAAAAAGAAACTGGCACTTGTTGGTAGTATAAGGATTCGTCCCCTTGGGTCAAGAGTTGGTAGAATTGTCGCCTTTGGCCACAAGCACAGTTGCAGGTCTTCTTGGATAACTGTCTGTCAGTGGTGTGCTTCTGGATTCTGCAGTTTGCCCATTCCTCCTGACAAAACTGCACCAGCTCTGTCAGGTCGGGTGGGAACCATGGGGAACAGTAACTTTCACGTCTTGCCACAGATTGTCAGTTGGAATGAGGTCTGAGGTTTGACTGGATCATTCACAGGCATGTGGGTTCTTGTTTTTAAACCACTGCAGTATTGTTTTGGCTGAGTATTTAGGGTAATCTTCCTGCCAGAAGGTGAACCTCTGCCCCAGTCTCTGCAGACTGAAACAGGTTTTCGTCTAGACTTGCTCTGTATGTGTCTTCATCCATTCTGCCATCAAACCCAACTAGTTCTCCATTTCCTCCCAAGGAACGTATCACTGCAGCTTGATGCTGCCACCACTCTGCTTTGCCATGGGAATTGTATTCTCAGCACTGTTGCCTTTGTACCACACAGTGTTGCATAGCAAGGCCAAAAAGTTCAGCTTTGATCACATCAGAGCAGAGGACTTTTTTTGACATGTTTCTTCAGTCAGTAAATTCTTTATTCAGTCGTTGACCAGCGAATATGACATGTTTCTTGTGCCTCCCACATGCCTTTTGCAGACCCCAAATGTGCTTTCATATGGGTTCGTTTTAGCAACAGTTCTCTTGCTGCCACTCTTTCATAAACCCCACTTTGGGTAATAATTGTCTCAACTGCTGGATTTGCCCATCTCATCTGTGGCTCTCTCCAGTTCCTTCAGATTTACCATTGGCCTCTTGGTTGTGTCTCTGATGCCCTGTGCTTGGGCGGACTGCCTTCTCCAGGCACAGTCATGGTTAAGCCATATTTTTTTGTATTTTGTAATGTGGATTTAATGATGCTCTGGGGGGTGTTCATAATTTTTTTTTTTTTTTTTTTGCGGGGGAGGGTTAACCAAAAAGCCTGATTAGTGCTTCTGTACAACCTTAACTGGGAGATGTTCAACATCTTTGTGATGTTGCTTGTTTAGCCGTTTTCCCCAACAGTCTCTGGAGCCTTCCAGAAACAGATGTATTTAAGCTGAGATCATGTGGCACTACTGGATTCCATTCAACTGCAGTATGTGGCTTCTGTAGGCAGTACTTAACTCCAGAGCAAAAGAGGCGGGAATACTTACACAACCAACAAGTGCCAGTTCTAGTTTACTTAACTTTTATGCTACAATAAAAATACTTTGTACCTTTACAGTGTCGAGTATCTTGTGTTCATTAAATGGTAATAATGCCTCTTAAATACATGTCAGTTCAAGATTGTAACACAACAAAAGGTGAAATTTAAAGCCAAGTGAACACTTACGCAAGGTACTATATAAGCCTTAATTTATAGATTCATTTATTAGGACTTCAGAAATCAGGCTGTGTTTGAGATAGTCAGAATTTCAGATACCTCAGGGTTGTTGTTGTACCCTTGGGGTCTGCAGCTTGATGCCTTTCAGATGTCCAGAACTGTGGATCCCATAATCCTGCCCATCAGCAATTCTAGCTGTTGCTGATGGGAGTTAGAGTCCAACATATCTGAGGAGCAACAGGCTCGCGCGCGCGCTCCCTCTCTCTCTCTCTCATAGCATGTTATAAACTTTATACTAGAGATTAATAGGAGTGCTTCCTTTTTATTATCTATGAACATATTTCATTTTTGCCTTGCAGAGAACTTGCTAGCTACCTGGAAGGAAGTTAAACTGGAGTTGAAGCCGCATTCCTCAGCTGAATGCAATTTCTGTAGGCGACCCCTGCACTTTGAAATGATGAGTGAAAGGGAGAGATCCTACTTCGATGGAATGAGTAAACTTGTATCAGTTGTTGCATAAAGCAGGGATGGGGAGCAGGTAGCTCTCCAGAGGTTGTTAGAATGCAGCTCTCACCAGGCCTCACCATTGCATTTGGAGGCCAGGACTCATTAAAGCTGCAATCCAACAACCTCTGGAGAGCTGCCTGTTCCCCATCCCTCACCTAAAGCAATCTGTAGCCCCATCCATGTCTAGCTTACATTGTCTACTCTAGTATTCAGATCTTCATTGTAGCCTGTTACCTACATATTAACTTGCATCTTATTCTGTAATCTGAACTAAATTCCCCAAAATAAACTTCAAGCTGGTGTATGCTATACACATTGCCTATTTTCTATTCTCATCTTCACATAGTTGTAGAGCATGATGCAAATACTGTTAACATTAGTAGTGAAATAAGTGTGGGGGGGCTGTTCCTGAGAAAATTGATCTTTCAGCTCAGATAATGTATCCTACTTTAAGTAGAAGATTGTAAAAGTTTGAGTATCTGGGTAGCCTCTTTTTTCCTGTGCAAATATATAATACTGAATGATCTAAAGGCAGGAGGGAAAGGTAGATGGAATCTATATGAGACTGAATAAAAGTTGAAAGTGTTTTGAGTTGTGGAGAAGGAGGTCGTGGAGCCCCACTCTGTAATGTCCTCAGAATCCTGGGAAATGTGGAGAAATCTGTGGTAACTAAAATGTGGTAAGAGTTTAACCAGTAATTATTCCATGAGGAAATGGAAGACATGGTGCGTGTTGATGTTATGGGACACTGGCCACCTACTGCACCTGTTGAAAGTTAAAAGACTCCAAATGGATCAGTTGAGTAACATGAACAGGAAGAAGAATGGAAAGCTTGTGCTGAATCTGATGTCCTTCCATGCACAAAGAAAGCTGGGCTTCACCTTAGCTTTCTGTGAATCAAGGTAGCATACAAAAGGTAGAGTAACTACTTTACCTGTTAAACCAGGTTAAAACCTTTTCTGGAAGCACATGGAAGCGGCTCTTGCTTGTTGAAAGGCAAGCAGCAATAACACCTAGTGGGAAACTTCTGGAGGCTGGGCATTGGGCCTGCTGCCTTTCTCATGGAGAAGGGCCTCAGAGGCATGAGGCAATCACTGGGGGAAAGATTCTCCTGGACAAACATACAGCAAAGAACCTCCCTTGGAGTAGCCCAATAGGTGCACACACAGCCAAAATTCTGTAGAATTCCCATGCCATTGAGGGCTGGAACATTCCTGTCACCTGTCTATGAGTAAGCCATTATCTTCCAAAAGCAATCACCATACTTTGCAGTATAGCAGAATATTGCACAGCTACTATAATTGCAGCAATTTTAACAGGCTGTAAATGAACAGCCATAAAGTGTACCTATGCTTACACATCCTGCAGGTAAGGCCAGATCTAAAACAGGTGCTATGGCACAATCCCTGTGGAGTTGCAAGCTGGCTGGAAGGTTCCCAAGTGTTTGCCTGTGCTGTTGCCAAGAGCATGAGCTGCAGCTGTCCTCTTACCTTCTGTGGGTTTGATCCATATTTAGTTCCTTTGCATTGGACAGTTGAACTCAGTGGGTCTACTCCAGGAATGGGGCCAAGCCTGGGAGTCCTCTTTCTAAAAAGCCCGAACATGCAACAGCAATATAAACCAGAGCAGTTGTGCCCAAGCGTTCTGGGATTCTGTGCTTACACAAAATGGCTGCCATGGTGAGCATGGCCAGGCATAAACACCTATTTCCTGTAAGGAAAACTGGTAAGGTTAAAAGAAAATCAACTTACCAACAAGCTTAAGTATGAGGCAGAGGTACATTTTTAGTTCCAAAACAAAGCCATTCTATTGTACCCACAGTTTTTTTACTCCAACATCTACTTCATAGAAACCACATCTGAAAACAGCTCTGGATTGCAAGCACCAGCCTGCCTGTGGCTTTTCTGTAGGCACCTGGTTGGCTGCTGTGTGAACAGAAAACTGGACTAGATGGACCCTTGGTCTGATTCAGAATGGGTCGTCTTACGTTCCCAGCCATTTTCTATATTCTCAGAATATTTCCAGGACTCTTATTGGAAGAAAAGCGTGAGCGGCTCCAAAAGTTGGTGCTTTGCTATGCAACATGCCGTCCTCTTTTATTGTTTTTCCATTAAAAATGTTTTTAGGTTTTTTTTAAAAAGGTGGTGCAAGGAGCCTGCTGGGTGCCAAGGGAAGTGTCGGTATGCAGTTTGGTGCCTGTGAGTACCATGTTGGAAACCCCTACATTTTATAAACATATTGCAGGTCCTGGAAGTTAACACAAAAAGTCTGCTGGACTTGGGCGGGGGCATGGGAGGAGGGAACTCCACATTCTGTTCAGCCTTTATTGTGAATGCTCCCTTCATATGAAGTTCTGAGGAAAGAAAGATGCAAGTCTCAAGTGTACCACCGAAGCAAACCACACTCAAATTACTGCGGGTAAAAATGATGTGTGCATAACTCCTGAGAAACCAATAGAGATTTACCAGTGGATTTGGTCTATTTGAATAGCTAGGGGTTGCATAATGAGTAAAAATAGGAGCAGATACTAGGAGGTGCTTTAACTGTGCCTCTTAATACTACTCTGCAGTGATTATCCATGCATATGCTTTGCTATATGAACTTGTTGCAAAGGCTCAAAGTAACAGTTGCCTTTTTTCAGCCTCATCACATTATACTCACATGATATGATGTGAGTATCAGATCATACTCAGCTTGTGATCTACAGCAAATCCAAGATCCTTCTTGCATGTAGTACAGTGGTACCTCGGCTCACGAACACCTCAGTCCACAACCAAACCGGGTCACGAACAAAAATTTCATAAACATTTTCACTCAGGGTGGTAACGGCGATCGTGGCCATCTCCCCACCACCCCGTTTGTCCTCTCCAAGGTCCGTTACATCTTTGGAAAGGCCTTGGGAACAATTCCTTTTGCACTGGCTGTGAGAGGCAGGCCAGGGGAGAGGTTGCAGAGAGTTTCACAAATGAACACGGACAGGCTTTGAACCTCTGTTTCCTGCGAGGCAAATGAAGTTACCAGGAGTCCAAATATAAAGAGAAATGGATTCTCCTTGCAATTACCTGTGTCACTTCTCAGAAATAAGCCCCACTGAGTCTAGTGGTAATTACTTCTTCCAGGTAATAGGATTTCGGCCTTATACTGTGGGTAAAGCTTGAAATACTGATTACTTCATGTACCTAGTTTTCTTTGTCAGTGGGATTGAATCCTATTGGATTCATTAAGATTGATCTAATAATGATTACACCTGTAATATCAAACCTTTCCTCTGTAAACACAGGAGCAAGCACTGTCCCATTATGAAGGAGGTTTAGCATGAGATCCGCTGCATACACAACCCTCCCAAAGCACTAACTACAATTGAGTGGTCAATAGCAAACCAGGAGATCACGTGTTCCCTGCCTCACTTGTATGCAAATTCCCCCATCCTTCCATAGGACCAAGTAGCATAATATAGAATCTTTGCTAACCCTTGTTATAGTGTCCACTATAGCTTATGACAGAATAAATGCATGCATTCATCTTTACAGTGCCACAGGATGTTTTGCTGTAACAAGGACTAATATGGCTACCCTCTCCAGAAACGGTTATGTGCCAAGTATGAGCGTGACCACAGACAGGTGCCTGCTCCTGGCGGCCCCTTCTGATGACACAACATCTTTTCGAGTTCTCCAATTCCAGGTAATGGAGGTAAAGCCATGCAAAGCACCCGGGGAACTCTGGGTGCACTGCAGATCTATGCATCCACCTGGCACCATTTCATACATTGGCAGCTGACTTGGCTGTGCACTTGTCTAAAATATTGACTGCTGCTGCTTTAATTGGAGAGACCGAGGGCCAAATCAGGCACTCCTTCCATTTGTGACACTGCTGCCTTGTTAGTGTTTGGGAACCCACGGTGTTTCTCATGATGTTGCTGATCCGTGCATGAGGCCTACAAATGTCACTCAGCAAGGTGCCCTTCCCATAACTATTATTCTAGGCAAGCCCTGAACAAGAATACCACTCCCCATTCATACTGTTCGGATGTTTTCCTGAGAGTGAAGCAGTTTCTCCAAGCTGAAGCAAAGCCTTGGCACTGACCGGTTGGCTCCCTGCAAAAAGCAGAATGGGGACAGAGCATTTTGCAGACCCACACATTCCTTTGTTGAACCGTTTCTTTGATTGTGCTCTTTAGACCTTCTTTCTAATAAAAATGACACCAAGAAGCAACTGGCATGCACAGCTTTGATCAGCTGCTAAACTAGTTTGGCTCCCTGTCCATCACTGAAATCTGGCAGGTGGAGACAGAGACTTTTTTGGCCAGCTGTTGTTTGCATTCCTTGCATGCGCAAGCTTCTTTCTCGCAAATGTTCTTTATTCAAACTACCTTTGTACTTTGAAATATACCTTTCCATTCTTGCATTGTTCTTGCTTTCTACACCAGCGCTGGGATGTAAATCACAGTCAGCTCCACTTTCACACATCTGAAATTATTAATTTGGAGTTCTCATCTCAGAACTTCAAAATTATCTTATGGGCCATTCAGAACATCAGAATTGCCCTGTTGAATCAGGCCAAGATCCCTCTTGTCCAGCACTCTGTTCACATATTGGTCACCAACTCCACTGCCTGTGGAAAATCCACACATAGGACATGAATGCAACAGTACTATCCTGCCCATGTTTCCCAGCAATTGGTGCACATAGGTGTGCTGTTCTTGATACTGGAGAGAGTGCATAGCCCTGAAGAGAGTCTCCTCTGTGTATCTGTCTGATCTCCTTTTACAGCCCTTCAAATTGGAAGCCATCACAACTCACTGTGAATTCCACACACTAACCACAGTTTAACAACGAATTCCACAATTTAACCATGCGCTAAATAACGATGTACTTCTTTGTAACTGCCCTGAGTGTCCTACCATTGCACTTCATGGGATACTCACCCCTAGTTCTGGCATTATGAGAAAGGAAGAAAAATCTCTCTTTCCACTTTCTCCCACCATGCATAATTCTGTACACCTTGTTCTTGCTCTGAATCCTCATGCAAGGCTGGTGGAACAGAAGCTCTAAATGCACCCTCTCCTTCACTCATCACTGCATACTAGGAATGGCCTGGAAGCAGCACTTGCTCACAAACAGTAGTAGCTAACTAGTCCGACACTAACTAAAAAGCTGAAACTTGGTACACATGTAACCCAAAGTAATATTAGGAAAAAATAGGGTACTTTTACAACGAAAGACAAAGAGGGTGGCCTCATACCAGAGCAGACAGCATAAGAGTTCCCGAGCACCCGTATCTGCCTGTGCAGAGCTGCACTGAGGTCATACAT